AGATTCTATGGTACATTTTGAAGAAGCTTAAGAGAGTAATCTCCAGTATCCTGACCAATGTTTACCCCTTAATCACCATCACTAAAGCAGCTTGTCTGGTGATTATTACACTGCTGTTTGTGGGAAACCATAATAGACTGCCATGTCTCCTACATTACAATAGTCATCTCACTTGATATAGTACTTTGTTGGTTGTAAAGTGCTATCACATATTCCATGGTTATTAAAATTGCTATATGAATGCATGTATCTTCTTCTTTCCAATGATACATCCTGAGCTGCTCATTAATAATCATTCAATAATGGTTGGCTAAGGAGATACTTGTACGCCCTCACATGGGTCCAGATACACTGTAGAAAGTGCTGGGTTATTAGTGGTTGACAGAAAGTGGCTGTGCAAAGTCTTGTGGACAGTCAATGTCTAAGCGTAAGTCTGATGAATGACTGCATGGTTCCTTTGCCACTGACTGTAAATATCCAGCCCTTAATATTGGCTGACTAAATTATGCAGGTTTACTGCACATTCTTGGACTGCAGGTTCTGTCCTCAACTGACTCCAAGCATATATCATTGGGAAAGGCTGAGGCCATCAAGTATATGCATTAATTGAAGCTACTTAAAGACAACTCAGTTTTATCATGTTGCAAGCCTTATTTGAGACCTTAGAAGTGTTAGATGATGAGTGAAAAGACCCCCAATGCATTACCTATACTCAGAGTTGTGACATAATTATGAAGAGGGCTTGAGATGTCTAACTTTGCACACTCTTTTGAGGACTACTTTGTAGGAAATTCATGGCCAAATAGATTATGATTTCCATTCATCCATTTAAAAATCTCAGGCTGTTTGCTCAGACATTACCATGTAGTGCTCAAGGTATGGTTGCTGGTAGTTGTCATTACAGAATCTGACAGTAAGAAGGAAGCTATTTGGCCCATTGTGTCTGTATTAGCTGTTTGGTTGGTTGGATAGCTGTTTCTGTCTTGTCTTGCAAATCTTCCCTTTTCAAGTTACATTTATCACTAACTAGTTAAGGAATCCAAAGACCCAAGCTACTGGTCTGGAGATGTGGGATCAAATCCCATCATGGCAGATAGTGAATTTCGAATTCAATTAATAAATCTGTAATTATAGTCTATTCTACTGGTAACAATTGTCAGCTGTCATGAAACCCATCTGACTTGCTAATGCCATTTAGCGAAAGAAATCTCCCATCTTATCTGCTCCCAGCTACGTGTAACTCCCAAACCCACAACAATGTAGTTGACCCCTAAGTGTCCTCTGAAATGGCTAATCAAACCATAATGAAGTATAAATAAAGCATTTATCCAATTCCGTTTGAAGGTTACAGTTGAAACTACTTCCTCAACCTTTTTCACACAGTATAAAAATAACAAAGTCGATATTTTAAAAAAACTTGATCATCATCTTCCCTCCTGGTTCTTGATCTAATTTAACTTTGGAATTGGCTTTTTGTGATCAGGCTTGAGAGAAATGATGCTTCATCCCAAAATGTTCAATCTTCTTACATCATAGATGGATTTAAGTTGTTGTGTTTAAAGAATGTGCTGTTAAAATGCTCCAATGCCTCAGAGTAGGTGCAGCAACTGATGTAACATTGTGCCACCCAGCCAGCGAGGTTTGATCTCCTGCTAGTATTGAGCCATCCAATGTTATTGGGCACTCGTGGGACGCAGGTACTGAGAACAGTGTGATAGCTCTTTCAAGTTGCTGTCCTTCAGTGTGAACTCTATGTATTGAATTTCAAAGTCAAAAAGAAACATATTACTTGAATAGGAGAGCTTTTCAGGATGTTGCAAAGTGCCATACAGTTAATGAAGTACTTTTGGAGTGTAGTCACTGTTACAGTGTAGAGATTGTGGACAGTTGACCCACAACAAGGTCCTAGACACTGTAATGTGATAATGACTACATGATCTGTTTCCTTGATATTGTTTGAGGAATAAATATTAGTTATATGATAGCTCAAAACTTGAGCATTGCTGAAAAAAGACACATTTTCTTGAAGCATTTCTTCTACAAGTTTGATGCACTAGAAGCTTAGCCTTCTTGGCAATCTCAAACCTTGAGTGACAACCCTACCAGTGGTTTGTAGTAATATCTCTGGACTAGTAATCCAAAATGCCAGGCAATTATGATATGGGCGTGAATCTCACCATGGCAGATGGTAAAATTTGAACTCAATAAATATCTGGACTAAAATTTCAGCAGTTTCATTGGCAACCGTGTAACACCATCGATTGTTGTGAAAACCCATCTGGTTTACTAAAATCCATCAAGGACGGAGATCTGCCATCCTTACCTCGTCTGACCTATATATGACTCCAGACACACAGCAATGTGATTGATTTTTAACTGCCCTTTGGGCAATTAGAGATGAACAATTGGTGATCTAGCCATTAATGCCCACATCCTATGAAGAATAAAATAAACCAGGTGAAGCTAGCTGTTTCAAGCTGCTACAATGTAGTAGCAATGAGTGGTGCTCACCGCTAATGAGATGCTGCCTATTACAAATTAATAACATGGTGTATGAATTTCAGTGTTGTGGGAGGGATGCCAGGTATGTAGGCTATACATACCGAAGACTATCTGAATCTGTCAAATAAAAGTCATCCTTTCAGTTGTTCACAACAGACAAGGTACTGACCATACCTGAGCAGCCCTGTTTGCAAAAAATGTAGTTTCTCATATCACATGTGATTCTGCAATTGGACAGCATTTACTAAATACAACTAACTGTGTAAACACATATGCTGATAACCAATTTAAGATCATCATTGTGATTGACATTTATACATAGTGTTAGCTGCATATACTACTACACTGAGCCCTGGACATTGCAGAGAGTGTGAACATACACACACCCTGCGCAAAATAGGTGATAACCTTTCTCTTGTTCATTACTCAGAGTAATGCCGGGACCAATCAGTGATAACTTACCTGGTTTAAAATTTAAATAAACTTGGCAGTTAACTGTCAGTCGTCATCTATTTGGTACATTCTCAATGGCATCTCCTGTACCAATCCTATTCCACTTATCCGCCAGTCAACACTCTCTTCTACAGTATCTTGTGTTTCATTTATATTGGTATTTCATCCAAATTGTCCTGATGAGCTCAGGATGATAGATTTGCGAGGAAAGTGGATAGATACCTCTGGGAAATAAACCTGCAGTATTAGAGGGATAGTATGAGGGAATGGAACAGATTTCATTGCTCTATAGAGAGCCAGGATGGGCTCAAATTTCTAAATTGCCTCATTCTGTGCCGTAGTAACAACTTCTTGAATTGTAGAAAGGGATGTTTGATGTCCACCCATGAAGGTAGGCTTGGTTTAACATGCCTCAACCAAAGGGGCTTCTTCAGACAGTATAGCACTCCATAAGCACTGCACTAGAGAGTCAATCTTGGTTATGCACAGCTGTATCTAGGATATGCAGCCTAATCAGCTAAGGAAAAATGCATCCCTAGTATGCATTTTCTGGTAGTGAATAATTAGCATTGGAAATCTAGCCTGATGTCTTTTCCACTCATTGCTCTGGGGTGGTAAGGCCAGTTAAAGCACCATCCTTTTGCCACCTTCCTTGGCATGGATCGTTACTGATGCCTGCATGTATACCCCAGTGCCACAATACATTTATCCACTGTGATATTGGGGAAGTATAGAAATGTAGCCCACTAACAAGCATCCTATTCAATTTACAGTTGTTTTTCTCCTCTTGAATAGACTTTTTAAATATTTCTATGAACCCATTTGAGAGGCCTATATTTTACACTGGCCATGACGCAGTAAATGTCAAGTACATGTCTCATTAAAGCTGAGTGATGGATTTTTCTGTTTGGCAGTAAAGTGACTGGAAAATGAATATCTTGTGTGAGTCAGCAAACTTCAGACAGCTGCATCGACAGCTCAAGTCAGCTATTGGCTCAGTTAATCCAAAGCAACCCAATCTCTCGGGATGAGCGCTCAATGTTCCACACAACCATGAGAATCAGCAGTTCTCTATTTCATTACTGTCAAATTGTTTGGCTCTGTGAGCTCATTAAGATTGTTAAATATCTCTGCCAGTGGGGCTAAATAGTTAAAGGCACCACCATCTTGGACTGTCGTAAAGATCATTCTTTTATATCAGGGCCTTTCACAACCTCGGGATGTCCCAAAGCACTTTACAGCCCAATAGTGCTTCTTGGGTATAATCTCTTTGCTAAATATGTAAGAAAGGGGCAGTCATTTTGAACATTGCAAACTCCCACAAATTGCAATAAGACAAATAACCATAGATCATAGAATCCCTACAGTGTGGAAACAGGCCATTCGGCCCAACAAGTCCACACCACCCCTCCGAAGAGCATCCCACCCCCCCAACCTCCCATGTCTAACCCACAGAACCTAAACATCCCTGGACACTAGGGGCAATTTAGCATGGCCAATCCAGTTTAAACCGTCTCGGTGATGTTGGTTGGGAGGTAAATATTGCGAGAACATTGAAAGAGCTCCCTTTTTTTTAATAGTACCATTAGAATTTCTTTTTAAATTCTATCTGAACAGCAAACATGGTTTCAGTCTAACGTTGCGTCTGAAAGATGGCACCACTGCCAGTGCAGCACTCCCTCCGTATGGCACTGAGGTCAGTCTAGATGTTGTATTCATGTCTGTGGTGTGGGATTTGAGCCTGTGACCTTCTGACTCAGATATGGAAGTGTTACTGTCGACCTACATCTCTTGCCATACAGCACAGAAGGTTCTCGATCCAGTCTGCACTGAGGCAGCTGGTGCTGTTTGAGATGGCCCACCTATCCCTCCCCATATCTCTCCTTCTGTCTTCCAATCTACTAGGTAACGCCGCAACTGAAGGCAACCCACTTGGTAAGGAGTGAAGTGTTATTGTGTCTGTGGAAACTATACACACAGAGGGAGACAATAAATTAAAAATGTTAAAAAAAGGTCTTTCATTTCTTCCCTGTTGTCATATTTAGGGCCGAGACTTTCCCTTTGATGACTGTGGCCGCTCGTTTACCTGCTTGCCATTGGAAAACTGTGACAGCAAAGCAGAAGCCCTTGTTTGTAACATCGATGTTCTGCTGCACATCATGACATATAAGGTCAGTCACTCACAAGCAATCTCCTGTGGAAGTGGAGGAAAGTCAAGTCATATACTTCAGTTCTAAGAAATATAGATTCAAGTTGCTTCAAAATGGCAAAATGTTTGGAACTGTAAAAGACGAAAGAAATTTGGGATCCCATGTACAAAAGCCAATAAGGGCTAGTGGATTGGTGTAAAAAATAATCTAATAAGGAATTTTGGAATGTTGCTCTTTATCTTGATAGAGCTGGAATGACTAGGAATGGAAGCTTTTTACACCTGTACAGAGTACTTAGACACCATGAAGAGCACAATTATGGTTGTGCACTTCAGGAAATATAAACAAGCTTTAGAAAGAATGCAGTGTAGAATGATACAGGGCTAAAATTGTTCAGTTGTGAGGAGAATATTTGTACATACTTGCCCTTGAGTACAGAAAATTTAAGCATGATCCAATTGAGGCTCTTTAAAATCATCACAAAATTTGACAGAAAATACGAGCTACTTCCTCTTGTGGGGAGTCCAGAGCACCAGGGCATAACCTTAAAGTGAGAGCTGAAAACCAAAAATGCTGGAAATCACAGTGGGCCAGGCAGCAACTATGGAGAGAGAGCAAGCTAACATTTCGAGTCAAGATGCCTCTTCATCAAAGCTGAGAGCTGGGTTGTTCAGGAGTGATATCAAGCACCACATCTTCCTGTAAAGTGCGGTGAATATCTGGAAAACACTATCCTTAAAAAAGCTGCTGAGATTTAGTATCAGTTTGGAATCCCAGAACTAAGTTTGCTAGATTTCTGTTAAGCAAGAGTATGAAGGTGGAGGATTGAGTTGAAGAACAGATCAACCATGATCTAACTGTGTAGTGCAACAGGCTCAAGGGTCTGAATGGCCTTCTGTTGTTCCTGTATTCCAAAGTGCACTGTTTGAGCTTGGTACTTGGGAGAGAACCATAGGAATGCCACTTCATAACATGCAGCAAACTTCAAATTACCAGTTTTCTCCCCTCCCAAAATGACAAGCCTAGGTAGTTGTACTTGAAGACAGTCAAAACCCAGCCTGTTACAGGCCCAATTCAGTGCCCATCTATATGGACCTCCCAGCAGGAGCCATTTCAGATCAATCAGTGTAGGGATTCTGACCTTTTCTCTCCCCCACCCTCCCCTCATTCAGGTAGACTCCGTATTGGCACCTCCACTGCCAGTCTAGGTAGTTTAGCAGTTATACCTCAGATGAGGATTCAGACGTCTGTTCTTTTAGGTCTGTGTGGCTCAGTGTTACCTCATCATCGATTCTATGGTAGTTTCAGAGCATGTCTTGAGGAGCACAGTATAATACATACAGTGGGGGCTGGGCAAGTTTGACCCCACCCTGTGTATTTTGAGCTTTGCTCCAAGGATTTGATTCAAGTGACAACATCTTGCAATAATATTGCACATTTGATGCAGTAAAACATCCCAAGGTACTCAGTAGGATTGTAAACAGGCAAAACTTGACATAGAGCATTATAGAGAGCTATTAGACAGATGATCAAAATACTAAGTTTTATGGAGAAGAGAGAGATGGAGAGCTGTGGAGAAGAAATTCCAATGTGTAGAGCCTGGCTAGCTAGCAGCAAGGATGCCAGTCGTGGTGCAATTAAAGTTGAGAGTGTAGTAAGAACTGGTGTTGAAGGAGGGCGGAGTTCTCAGGGGGAGGGTTGGAGGAGGTTACAGAGTTAGAGAGGGATGAGGCCACTGAGGTTTTTGAAAACAAGGATGAGAATTTTAAATTCGAAGTGTTCCTGGACAAGGCGGCCAGTGTAGGTCAGTGAGTACAGTGGTGATGGAGTGGAAAAAGTCCTCACAGTTCACATTACATTGTTGTCCACAACATTTCCAAAAACAGAAGAGGTTGTGGGGTAAAGGATAGTACGCATCTCTGATTAATCTTTTCCGATTTTGCCTGTTACAGTTGGGACCGGGTTGTACGCCAGGTGTGTGGGTCTGCAGCACGGATATGATCCTGACTGTCCCCTCCTACCCAGGTAAAGAAAGGAAACGCAAGTAATTACAGTGTTTTATTAACAAGACCTGTTCAGTGCCTGAAGCATGAGGGAGCACACATGCTATCTCACACATGATCAACGTATTTATCCAATGTGTTCCTGCCCATGAGCTGTTTAAGCTCAGTACATGTTGGTTGCATGTCATGGGATGTACCACTGCTGCTGTCTTCACATGGCATGCAGGGCTTAGTGAGAATGGAAATACTGGTTAAAATTTCCTTCTTGAAAGCAGGGAATCTCCCATAGCCAGCTAACTTCAGCAGAAACCAGGACTGGAACTTAGGTCAGTAACATTCTGTGTGACATATGTCTTCTGTCAATTTGTAACAGAGTATCTGGTGTATTTAGGCCTGAATACTCCAGGGAATGTATTATTATTGTTGTTGTTATCATTGCATCCTTTTACATTGAATAGAGGCTTGAGATCCAGCTGTGTGGTGTGCAGAGATAAATAAATGAACAGTTTGGTCATTTTATTTTTATAGTGTACTCTGGAGAATGAGGTAATGTTATGGAAGGGTTAACCAGCTCATTTAACACCCTGACAGGTTGCTGTTACAATCCGTGAAAAGACCAAAAACTTATTAAAAAAAATGAAACCCACCACACCAACAGAAGTAGACAAAAGAAAATTTTTCACTTTTTAAAACTTTTGCTGTGACACGCTAACCAAAATCATCATAATTTGAAGATTAAACAGTACTTCAAGTAAAAATTAAATTTCACGTCAAGTACATCTCAGTGGACCACATGCACCCATGTCAATCCCTACACATGTAGCGGCATTCTCAATCCACATCCTCAAACCTGAAGAAAAGAAAACTACTGCGGATTCTGGAAATCTGAAATAAAAACAGAAATTGCTGGAGAAACTCAACGGGTCTGGCAGCATCTGTGTAGAGAAAAATTGTAACAGTTCAGGGAGTGCAAATGATAGTAGAGGAGTAATATAAATGTAGAATAGGTGATACCTATGATAGGTGTGAAAATAGGTTATCTGCTGAGAGCAACCTGTGCAAACACGAGAGGGCGTGCTGGTTATCATGTAATCAAAGTGAAGTGTTAGTGTACATGCTGTGAAATTGTTGAGCTCAGTAATGAGTCCTGAAGGCTGTAAGGTGCCTCAGTGGAAAATGCGACTCCATGAGAACACCCTTTTTCTTTTGCTTTGGGCACCCTCACTGTCTGTTGCACTCACTCTTACCGCTTTGTCAATAGCATAAATACCATTATTTTCTAATCCCTTCAGTGTCAAAGAAGTCATGTTGGAATTGAAAGGTTAATTCTGTTTTTCTCTTCACAGATTGCCAGACTACTGAGTTCTTCCAGCATTTTTTGTTTTTATTTATTCTCTAACTCAATCTCTGGAGAGTAGGATCTTTCACTTTCCCAATTACCGGATTCAGCTTTCAAGGAGCTTTTGTCAGAAACTGTTCCAAAACGCAGTCGGCACCAAAACAGCACATCCCTACAGGACTTTGTTAGGTAGGATCACAACAGTTTTGATGCACTGAATCCATAAAGACTCCTTTCTCTGACCTCCTTAAGTGGTCTCCTTCTGAAGATGCAGTGTTTGGCTGTTAGTAGACTTTACTACTTTAGTATTTATAAGCTACCATTAAATATAAGGAGGAACTGAGGGGGAAGAGATTCTGGAGACAGGGCTGTCCTGAAGGGTCAAAGCATATGCAGAAGAACCAAAGCTGATTGTTCCCAGGAGGATAGTGTATTCTGGAGGAAGCTGCTTCAGTGAGAAGGAAATACAGAGTAGGAGACAGAATAGGCCAACTGTCCTGGGACTAGACCATACTGTGGTGCAGAGAGGTGAGGGACCTGTTGCTGCAGAAGCACCAAAACAAGACAAACAACAGCAACAGTCAGTCCATGGTAGAAGATACTATTCTGCAGAGTTTACAGGCAACGGATGAATTACTTTCTACTCCTCAGAGCACCAGCGTCTTTGCAGATTATGTCTCTCCAGAGATGGTGGTTTTGCTGTGAGGGGCTAGTTTAAATTGTTTTGGTGGCCATGCTATGGCTTGTTCACAAGTTGACTACAGCCTTGCATTTTTATGCATCATAGTCGTTCCAGGCACCAGCTGGTGACCTTTGCAGCTAACCTTATGCTTCAGCTCACCACACAGGTAATGTGAGTGGCGACTTCATCTCATTCACTATCGATAATGTTAATCATCCAAGAGAGCCAGACACTTGGTGTAAATTGCTGGATTGCCCAAACTTCATGGTGTGATAGATTTCAAAGAGGTGGCCATCAAAGCTCCATTGGACCAGCTAGGAGCATTGATCAGTCATAAAGGTTTTCTTCTGTCAAGGTTCAGTTCGTGTGGTGACTGTTTCAAAGAATAATGAGATATATTTATGACCCTAGATGCTACTGACTGCCGTGGAGGTCCTGTCCACCAGAGCTGTTGGAAGGTTGGATTCTTGGAGATTACCCACTAAAGAGATGGCTAATGACCAGTGAGAATTCAGGGACAGAGACTAATTTGTGTTACAATGATCATCACACATCTACCAAGGCTATCATTCAGCAGGCCAGTGAGATTTCAATGCTTTGATCATACAGGTCATGGTTATTGTCTGACTCATGTTGCACAAATCATCTTAGTGTCTTGCTCCTTGCATGACCTGGAGCTCCAGAGATGGGAGACCCTGGCAGAGGTTGATCCAGAGGACTGAGCCATATCATCTGAGGATGAGGAGAAGGAGCCATGCCAACCAAGAGCAGAACCTGGTTTACAACAGGCTACAGCTATCACCAAGATGGAGAGAGGCTGATGCCCCTTTCCCTGGCTACCGGAGGCAGTGAGGGTCTCCTGCACAGTGGCAACTGCAATCTCATCTTTTGCTGTGGCACGTGGAGGTATTAATGTCAGTGGCAGAGGGGTGGGCAAGCTGTCTTCATCAGGACCACCCTAAGAGTTACCGCACTCCTGTGGTAAAAACAGCTGCTGGCTCGCCATCCTGGACTCCGTTCTGCCCTCTCTGCTTTCTTTTTCTTTTTATTCATCATGGGACGTGGGGCGTTGCTGGATGGGCCAGCATTTATTGCCCTGTACCTCATTGCCCCTTGAGAAAGTGGTGGTGATCTGCCATCTTCAATCCCTGCAGTCTATGTGCTGTATGCAGACCACAATGCCATTAGGGAGGGAATTTTTGAGGGAAACCGGGACCTGGCTGAAAGTTCAGGCACCTCATTCCCCCTTTCACCATGACTGTGGCACCAGCACTCAGATGCAGGATGATGGAATGCAGTTTACATCACATGCCTGGTATCCCATCCGTCAGCTTATGGGTCTGATGTTCATGACAGTCTCTAACATGGAGAAAGCTACTCATTCTGAAGAAAGCGTGAATGGAGCACTCAAGCCTGGATGGTGTCCTCTGTGATCTGTGCCAGCATGCGGGAATCTTCTGGAAGCTCTGCCAGATCTCCACATATCTCATGCTGTATGTTTAGTACCACCTGTTTGACTTCGTAGGCTTGTCATCAGTCTGAGGTTCAGCATCTAGGTCACATCCAGCACTTCTCCTCCAACTTATTCTGTGACTGTAATGTGCTTGCACCAGTATTACGTAACTCTTTCAGCAGATTTGCACATTCCCACGGAGCTGCTTGTGCCTGCAGTGGTACTAGTTGTACCTGAGGATGTAACCGTGCGCTTTCAGTTTCCCTTTACCTCCTCAGAGCTTAATGTCAGTCCCTCAGAACTGGTGGTTGTTGTTGCTGATGTTTTACCCGTAAGGGAAATGGACTAGGATCATTTGGGCGGATTTTAGAAATACACGCTTTCTGCTCACGCTCATTTTGAAAATGCTAAACAGGATCTCACTCTCAAATTCAAAATTGAGACAGACATTCCCTCCTAAATACTGTAAACAACTGGAATCAATCTCATCAATGCACCTTCGCCACACACTTTTCCTAATTTTCTCCCTGCCCTTCCCCATTCCCCTTGGAATCTCATCAGCCTCTGACCATTCTCCAGACTCTGCACAGCTAAAGTCCTGCACCATTAGTTGCTGGCCAACTTTAGTCCTCCCCAGAATCCCACATGCTTACCCAGGATGACTTATCTGCTTCATTCTGCCTCTGTACATTGATGATACACTAGGCAGTCCCAAACTTGACGCACCAGTTTTAGTACAAAAAGGTTGGAATTTACCTTTGACATCATAAACGATCAGTCAGCTTCTTATGGCAAAGTAACCAGGTCCTTTGACCCACAACTCCTGTCCTTCCTTGCAACCTCCATCCAGGCTTCTTTTCTCTGACAGGGAGGTCACCTTTTGCCATTTCTTGGTATAAGAGACTCATGCCAAATAATCACAGCCTGGAGGAGGTCTCACAAAGGGAATGATCATTGAATCATGGGGTCATCTGTGGTCTGAGCTCCCCCTTTACCTGGCAGCTGCAATGGCTGATGATGAGTCAAAGCTGACAATGCTGTCAATGGGCAGGATGTCTCTCAAGCTCTATAGAGTGACAAACTGACTCAAAATGGAAAATGTAATTCTCTTTCTGAATGCTTCTCATTCAGAAAGGGATTAGTATGTTCGTTTCCCCCTGGCAGAGGCCTTGAATGAAACCTTGCAGTAGCCACCAGAATGGAGAAATGTGCTGTCAGGTATTGTTGTTTCACTGCTTGAGTGTAAGCTGTGGATGTACCATCTTTCTTGATTGATTTCAATCTACAAGGATCATTGTATGTGTATTTCTTCTAAAACTGCCGCCAGTCTGAGGCCATTGTGCTTTTAAATGGGTGGTTGTGACTAACTTCCAGTTCATCATCTAACTAACTCCTCTCACACCAAAAGACTTAAGCTGCGTACCCATTTCTTTCACCATTATTGTGAATGATTGGATAGGCTAAGGTTGTCCATTATTGCCTCTTCCTAATTACCCTTAAGAAGATAGCTGCTGTCTTTGGTGAAGGGAATTCCAGGATTTCCACCCA